TGAAGTTTCATCTCCTACTTTGGGCAGGTGGCTTGGAGAGATTATTCTTTGCAAAAGGATATTGTGCTTGGGAAGGTGGAGAAGCAGGGAAAGAGAGGAATACCCTCAACCAGATTGGTTGACATGGTAAATATGACAATGGACTTTAGATTGTTGGAGATTATTAGGATGGCACAGGATAGGGTTCAGATTGGTTGTTCATAGGGCTGTGTGAATCATATTTGGCTTGATGTCATCTAACAACAATGACAACAACAGTACTTCTATCTAATTTACTGTTGCTATTATTGGCAATTCATCCTCAAGACATAGTGATTCTATTTGAAAATCAATAGAATGTCACTGGTTGATTTTTGTAAGCAGTTCTCAAGCTTTTATTCTAGTCTGCCTGCTTAGAAATGTGCAAACTTCTTTGATCTTGGATTTCCTTGATAAAAGATAGAATCCACTATTTAACTGCTAGCTATGGTAGCATGGTACCTTAAATGATGCCTTACTAACCCAAAGGTCAGTGGTTTGAATTCACTAGTGGGCAGTGCAACTCCCTCCAGGCTATGCCAACAGAGCTCCTGTTTCAATTCTGAAAGTTTTTTTGTGGATATGTGTTATTTAGGAAACTGAAAAAAATGTAAATAAAACCAAAACCAGCAAAATCCTCATGCTGATCAATGAATACAGGCTATAATATTGATTGTCTAGTTTGGGCATGTTGCTAGGAGAGGCTATGCCTTGGAGAAGGACATCATGCTTGAAAAGCTGGAGGGTTGCCAAAAGAGAGGAAGGCTTTCAATTAGATAATTGAAACAGTGATTTATGCCTTGGGTTTGAGTATTTCAGAGCTGATTCATCTACCTACCAAAACATGATGATCTAAGATAAGATTTATGTTATGACTGTAGCTGAAACACTCAATTTTACCAAAAACCCAGATGAATGTTCTTGAGCAAATTACTTAACTATAGTTAGCTTCTGTTTTCTCATCTTAGCATGTGCATATTAATAACTATCACAACCTCTGGTTTACATTGTTATTGACTGACTCAAAAGAAGTAATAAACATAAAGAAGAATATAAATATTGTTAATTGTTACTTGAGTCAGGCTATGATCTTTTCAATCATTTACTATTTATCTGAGAGCTGGACAATAACTAAGGATGACAATAAGAATTGATGCCGTTGAACTGTGGTGTTGGAGAAAAGTGCTGAAGAGCCTATGAACTCTTATTATTTTCTGTAGACTATTACCGAAGTTTAAGAAGAATATTGCTTTAAATACAATCGGTGGTGGTGTTATGTGCTGTTGAATCCGCTAGAACTCACAGCAGCCCTATAATCTGAAACTTGCCCTATCCTGAATCTTCTTCAGGATCTTTGACATGATCAAGCAATTGTTATAGTCATTGTTCTATCTCATTGATGGTCTTCCTCTCTTATGCTGACCCCTCTCCCTCCCCCAGCATAATGCCTTTTCCCAAGAACTAGTCGCTCCTGACAACACACCCAAAGAATGTGAGACTAAGTTTTACAGACTTGCCACTAAGGAACAACCTAATTTTACTTCTGAGAAAAATTTATTCTTTTGGAAGCTCACTGGATATTCAGTACTCTTTTCCAAGATCACAATTCAAAGGGAATTGTGCATCTTCTATCAACCTTATTTCTTATCCAATTTTTAGATGCAGGAGAAGCAATTGAAAATAGTGTGACTTGGATCAGGTACAAGTTAGCCTTTAAACAGACTTAGTTTCTCCTTAGAACTTTGGAGAGATTTTAGATGGCAGATTTCTCAATGCAGCACATCTTTCGATTTTTGACTGCTTCTACCATGGCTGTCGATTCTGGGGCAACTTCAGTCTTTTCTTTGTCTAACATGATGTTGCCTATTGGTCCAGTGGTGACAATTTTTGTTTTCTTGATGTTGAGATATAATTAATATTGAATGCTTTGAACTCCAGTAAGTTCTTAGAATCTTCCTTATTTTCTGCAAGTAAGGCTGTGCCACCAATATTAAGAAAGCTCTTGATGAGTCTCCTACTAACCCTGATGCCACCTTCTTCTTCAGCTGGCTACCTTCTCAAATGATCTCATGAGCACGGTAACTGAATAGGTGTGAGGAAAGGAAATAACCGTAACAGGCACCGTTACTGATTTTAAACCATGCAGTGTTCTCTTGTACTATTTGGGAAACTGCTTCTTGAGTTATACATTTTGCAAAAGTAAATAATTAAGTGTTCTGTGGCTCCCATTTTTCTCAATCTTTCACAAAACAAATACAATTTGTTATGTTTCCCATGGTTAAATGCCTTTAAATAAAAGAGAAACAAATAAACAACACTAGTAACATTTTTCTGGTATTCATTCATTCTCTGCTTTCAGCAAGATCCATCAGACACCAATTCTGATATCCATTGTACCACAGACTCTTCTAAGTTCAGATTCGATTTCTTCTCAATCCACAGTGAGTGCCTACTTCATAATATTCTCAGAAAATAAAGGCAATTATTGAATAAAAGTAACACACAATGAAGCAAATAATGAAGCAAAAATGTTTTAGTATAACATGCTTAAACCCCATTAGTTTACACAACAAAAGAGGGATGACTCTTAGTGTACGGTTTCTCTATTTGTTGTTGTTAGGTGCTGTTACCCTGAGTATGACTCATAGCAACTCTATGCATAACAGACATGGACCCTGTCCTATCTTGTGCCATCATCATCTTTTCTGAAATACTCGACCAATTGCTGCATTCACTTTTTTAAATCCATCTAGGTGAAGGTCTTCCTCTCTTCCTCTTATTGTCCACCTTTCCAAGCATGATGTCCCTTTCCAAGGAATAGCCCCTACCAGCAACATGCACCAAGGATATGAGACAAGGCTTTGATATCTTTGACTCTAAGAAGTTTTCTGGCTGTACTTTCTCCAAGATATATCTGTTTATTCTTTTTCCAGTCCAGGAGATATTCAGTACTCTTCTCCAACATCACAGCTCAAATGCATTAATTCTTCTGTCGTTGCATAGTAAACAATTGGAAAGACCAATAAAGCATCAGCATCTTAGTCTTCAAACTGTCATCATTGCTCCTCAATAATTTGGAAAGTCCCTGGCCGCACAATTTCCCAGTGCAATACATCTTCTAATCTGATTGCTGGTACCAAGGGTGTTGATTATGGATCCAAGTAAGATGAAGTTATTCACAATTTCAACTGCCTCCCACCTTCATTTATCATGATGGTACCTATTGGTCCAGTGATGAGAATTTTAGTTTTATTTACTTTGAGATGTAATCTATATTGAAGGCTGTAGTCTTAGATCTTCTGTAATAAGCTTTTTAAGTCCTCCTTTACTTTTAGCAAGCAAGGTTGTGTCAAATTTATAATGTTAATAATTACTCTGATTCTGATGTCATAGTTTTTTTCTTCACAGGGTCCAATTTCCCAAATGATTTGCTTAACATACAGACCTAATAGATATGGAGAGAGGATACAACCCTGACACAAACCTTTCTTAATTTTAAAACATATAATATTCCCTTGCTGTGTTCACACAACAGTCTCTTAGTATAGGTTTTTCATGAGCACAATTGAATATTCTGAGATGCCCATTCTTCTCAATGTTAGCCATAAGTTTTGTGATCCACACAGTCGCATGACTTTGCATAGTCGATAAAGTACAAATAGACATTCTTTTGGTCTTCTTTCCTTTCATTCAGGATCCATCTGACATTAGCAGTGATATCCCTGGTGCCACAGATTCTTCAAAACCTAGGATTCTCACCACTGGACCAATTAGCAGCATCAGGATAGATGGTAAAGAGACTGAGATTGTTAACAACTTTAGTTTGCTTAGCTCCACGGTCAACACTCTTGGCACCAGCAGCCAGAAAATAAAACAAACAAACAAAAAAAACCAAACAGACAAAAAGTATTGCGAAGGGAAAATCTGCTGTTAGGGATCTCTCCAGGGTACTGAAGAGCAATGGTGTCGGTCTGGAGACTAAGGTACATCTGATACAGGCTATGACCTTTTCAATAATTTGTTATGCATCAGAGAGTTGGACAATGACTAGGGAGGATAGAAGGAGAATGGATGTCTTTGAGCTGTGGTGCTGGAGAAGAGTATTGAATATACCATGGACTGTCAAGAAAACAAACAGATTCATCCTGGAGAGGGTTAAACCAGGCTGCTCCTTGGAGGCAGGATTCTGGGGCTTTGTCTGACATACTTTGGACATGTTGTAAGGAAAGACAGGTCTTTAGAGAGGGACATCATGCTTGGGAGGGTGGAGGGACAGCGCAGGAGGGGAAGGCCCTCCAGGAGGTGGATTGATTCAGTGACTGGGGCAATTGAGATGAGTCTATCGGAGACAGTGCGATTGGCACAGGACAGAGCAAAGTTTAGGGTTGTTATACACAGGGTCACTATGAGTCACAAGCCACTCGATGACACATAACAAGATTGAAGTTCTGCCAAGTATCTGTCCAAGTATCTTTAGCAACACTTCACATCATTTTAGACTCACCAGTCTCCTATTTTTGTGACCACTGTTATGACCATGGGCTCTATCTATTTTTTTGCAAGTATAATTGGAGAGTGCCTCTCCATATGCTTTCCCATTGATGCTGAGATCATCCCCTAGTGCTTAAGAATGTGTACCAGGAAATGCAGTAGCACTAATACCCCTCTGAGGAATAAACCTAATTTAGGTTTGATTATACTCCACAAGACATACTTATTCAGTGTGTAGAGTACATTTATTACTTTGCGACTATCTTGACTGGTTAGCGTCAAAACTTGGGCAAGGCCACTTGACAATATGTTATCCTTAACATAATGAGCTTTTCAGAAATTAAAATTGCTGTAGTAATGAGGCAATGAAGTCTGTGCTCATTATGCCCCACCCCTGTCAGACAGTATATAAAGGTCCTGGAAGCATAAGAAACATTCAACTTTCAGAATCATTCTCTCTCACCTCAACTGAAGCTTCTTCTCTTGAAATCATGTGTTACAACTACTACAGTGGCTACGGTTCTGGCTGTGGCTATGGTTCAGGCTATGGTTGTGGCTATGGCTCTGGCTCTGGCTGTGGTTATGGCTCTGGCTACGGCTGTGGCTCTGGCTCTGGCTACGGTTGTGGTTACGGCTCTGGCTACGGCTGTGGTTATGGCTCTGGCTACGGCTGTGGTTACGGCTCTGGCTACAGCTGTGGCTCTGGCTCTGGCTACGGCTGTGGATATGGCTCGCGCTATGGATATGGCAGCTGTGGCTACCGACCATTGTGCTACAGAAGATGCTATTCTTCTTGCTATTAGAAGACCACCCTCTGAGAACTATTTGCTTCTGAAACAACACTTCCAAATGTAAGCTGGGATCAAGACCCTCTATAGCAAGATTTGTGTCTTCAAGAAATTACATGCTTAACAAAAATATTAACCTCTCAATGCCTATTCCTTAGAATTATATCTTTTTGTTTAGGTCTTTGATTTTATCATACTCTTTTCCAAATGTTATTCTCTAATTCCTTATTATCTGATTTTATGTTATGACTATGTTGATTTTCCCTAAAGTTGGGCAAAATCACTCTTCTAAATAATAAATTTGCTTTGCTCATATAAAATATATGTGTAGTTGGCTTTTGAGTTACTGTTTTCTTGATATGTGTGGCAACTCTGGAAGTTGGTCTAACAACATGTTCAGTTCTTCATGGGTAAACAATTATTTCCTAAATTATAAAAGGAGCTCTCCACTGACTTCTTATGTCTGACGTGTCCTGGAAAACACACATTTAAACACAAAGCACAGAGCATTTCAGACTTGTGCTTGAAAATTGTGGTGGTATCTAGTAGGAAGACAGCATAAAAGAACAGTGATGACGTTGTTTTAGATGATCTCAAAGCCCCAGTACACAGAAATTCAGCCAGTATATTTAGAAGATCAGTGACATTTATGAGAAAAATTTACTATCTCCTTCTATGTGATTTAAAACCTCTGAAAATTTGTAGGGTCAGCTATGATTTTATTCTGATTCAATGACAACAAATATGAAAGTGAGCATGCAACATTAAAGAATGATGAAAAATCTGTGAAATATTTTGGAACATGGATGGACTTGGAGAATATGATGTATACGAATTGTAGAAGGATAAACAGTGCCTAAGAACATTTTATAAAAAGTTAACAAAATTTCTACACACAGAAAGAAACATTCGTTGATGATTGTTATTTTTGGGAGGCAAAATTAGAAAATAACAACTAGAGAGTGACATAGAGTAACCTGAATGGAGAAAAAGGCTATAAACAACAAGGGTGAGATCAGCACATGACCAAAACAAAGGAGGATACCGAGAGATGCACAAAACTAAAAGACAGTAGTAAATATGATTGTACATACAATCCCACAAAATAGTAAAATCATCTGAAAGTAGATACATAATCATGGATCCCAAAGAGATTTAAGAAGGCAAATGAGTGTACGTCAATAAGTATTTATAGGTTTGGCAGAGAATTTTAAAAAGTATGAAAAGAACCCCAAATGATTGGACATGACAATTACATTAATGACAATGTTATAAAACAAAATTTTTAGTGATTTTATGAAAGATTTGTAAACCTTCACTCAAAAATAAATTTTTAAAAAGTTAAAAACAAAAAAAAAGTATAGCTTATTAGAGATGTTTCATACCATATGAATTTGATGGAACTGAAAAGAAATATAATTCTTGATGTATTTTGAGAGATTTTAATTCATATATGCAGTAATCACCTAACCACAACAACAAATAACAAATGCTGGCGAGGTTGTGGAGAAACTTGAACTCTTATTCACTGTTGGTGAAGTGTAAAATGTTGCAACCACTGTGGAAGGCAATATGGTGCTTTCTCAAAAAGTTGCAAATAGAAATATCATTTGAGTCAGTAATTCTGCTTCTGGGAATATACCCTACCCTACAGAAACTGTAAATGCCACCCAAGCAGATATATGCATACCCATGTTTATTGCGGCTTATGATAGCAAGGAGTTGGAAACAACCCAAATGGATAGAGAAACTGTGGCATATCCACACTATGGAGTGCTATACCGCATTGAAAAAGAAGGAACTCATGAGTCATTACACAAAATGGGTGACATTATACTGAGTGAAATACCTCAGTCACAAAAAGACAAATATGGCATAATTCTTATAAAACAGTGAGGGATGGGTGGAAACTAAGAGGAGATAAAAATGTACACAACATTGAAACAGATGAGGGAGAGCACTGTAAAAAGTGAATATATTATTAGGTCTTATTGGCATGCCAAGAGTTCAGAATAAGAACTGAATAGTAAAGTTGTCTGGGGTGACGGGGTGGTGTTTTTTATAACAATGAAAGAACTTTTTCCCCCAAGGAAAAAAGTGACCTTCGGGGCAAGGTAGGCAGGGAGGAAATGGAAACAATGAAAGATTGGAAACCCGAATTCTTTATAAACTTC